AGTTGCCAATAGGTCCTCAGCTAAGATTGGAGTTTTTATCCACTTCCCCAGCTTTATTCTGGGATTTTTGTCTGGCTTCAGCTTACAAAGTTCTTGTGTTTGCTGTCATCATTGCTGTGAGTTCATATGAGTAACGGCCTAGCTGTCTGGAAAACTCTGTTTTCTTGTGGTCATCTATCACCTCTGACTCTTAAAATCTTTCTGCCCCACTGATATCAGGCCTAGGAACCTGTGGCTCAACAGGTCATAGGCTGTAGAGAAGAACCTATTACTATTTTTCTGCTAAATGGACATATATTAAATTGACTTCTAATGACTTATTGTTATACCTATAGATTAATGCATCTCTCAACTCTTGCCAGAGAAGCTTCCTCATGCAGCAGATGGTGATTAACACAGAGACCCACAACTGGTCAATGTGCAGAGAATGAGACTGCAGAGGGCTTAGCCCTGAATAGGACACCTATATCAAACCTCTGTCTCCCAAGGCTCAGGGATCATTGCAGAAGACAGAACTTTTGATGGTCCATTATTATTATGATGGTATTAATCAGGATTCCTGGTTATGACTCAACTCAAACTTGCTTCCGAATGAAACAAGTTTGGTGTATGTAAAGCAAAGCCTAGGACTCATTCCTCTTTGGGCCACATTAGACCTAGGCGTTAAATCCACACCATTAGAAATCTGTCTCTCTACCTCTCTTGGCTCTTCTTTTTCTTTGTTGTCTTCATTCATAGACAAGATCATCTTTAACAGTAACAGTGGTTTTTCTCACCAAGTCTTGACTTTGAGAGTTTGCTGATATGGTAAGAGGAAAAAGAGGGTTGTGTTCCCAGTAATTCCAGCAAAAGTCCCAGTATTAACTCTAATTTGACTCAGTTTGGATGGCAGACTCATCCCCAAACCACTTACTGTAACCAAGAGACTAGCATACCTTAATGGACTAACCTAGATCATGTGATTTGAGATAAACATGAATCCCATCCGTATGACACTTAGTGGAATTGGTGGTGAAAATTACTTACCCATGGGATGAAGGGTCCAGCGAGTAAGGGTCAAAGCCAACAGAGAACCCTTAGAAGGCTTTTGAAGTCCTGGGCCTAAGAGGGAAGTAGATAAGAAGGTTCTAGAGAAGACTGCAAATCCCACCTGGGCACTGTGGGCTGGGGCGGAGGATGACCATGATCATGCCTTCTCAATCAGTCCTGTGCTAGACACTGTCCTGACTTTCTTTTGAGTCTATTTCAAGCTCGGCTAAAGCTCCATGGCTGTTGGAAACAGTAGCAAAGAAACTGTAAGGAGTGGGTGAGGAGGGCAAATGTCAGCCAGTTCTTTTGCGCTCTCCCTGGGGCAATAGCCCACATGTCAGAGGTGTGTGAGCTCCCCCCCCCCCGTATCCTAAGCAGCCGGAATGCAAGACATTTGCAAAGATGCTCACCCCACATAAAAAGTGTGCTGTTCGATAATTATGTAGATTAGCTGGCAATTAGATAATGTCACTCACTTTCTCACTCCTGCTTGATTCCCACACAACAGATAAGTGTTTGGAGCTTCCGTACCATCTCCAGCCTTCCATGTTGGCTCTGGGGCCAACCACCTGGCCCTGGCTGCCTGTGTTGGCCTGGGACTCCAGGAGGGTGGTGGTTGGCTGACTGAATGAAGAAAATTCTCTAGCTTCCTTTGTCCCTTTTTCTTGAGCCCAGCATGCTCTGCTGGATGATTGAAGAAAGCTAAAGGATAAAAGCTGGGGGTAGTTGGCTTGAGGCCTCTGATAACTAATATAAGGTCATATATAGCTTTTGGCCATTTGGGTAAATTCCTTGAGGCCATGGGAATGTCTCCAGTCCAGAGGCTTTAGCAGAGAATGCGGATAGACCACAGGGTGTGAGGTGTAAATGGACTGGTTATGATGGTACCCTTCACTGTATCTGACCTGCCTGGCACCTCTGGAAATGAAAGCTTGGCTTTTCTCAACCAGCCCTTTTGATCTCTTAAGATTCTCAATGGGGGCATGTTGGTGTCCCCAGTGCTGGTCTGGACTGGAAGGGAAGGACAAGAGTCTGAAGAGAGAGGCTCATGTACATAGACTAGAGTGTTCATCACAAAACAGGCTGAGTCAATTCCCATGGTCTTCTCTCACAAGTGTATGTGCCTGGGTATCATAGTATTTCATTCATTCATGGGTTACCCCAGACCATTAGGCAGGTGTTGTTTTGCCTTTTGGGACCACCTCAGGTCTGCATTTAGGACAGTTGAAGAAGTGCTCAAGAGTGCTGTCCCAGTGTACAGTGGGATCATATGAGGCCTCTCCTTGGAGTAGAAGTCAAAGGACTTTATGGTGGCTCTTAAGTTTTGTTTTACAGTTTATTTTCTCTATAGATGTTTCCTAGAGCCTGCTCTGTGACAACGTTCCGTGACAGGCACTGTGGTGAAGCAGTTTCTTTTTCCTAGGAGGTTCTCCCACCAAATAATCTGATTCCAGCACTTGGGTTCTTAATCCCTGTAATTTACTGAAATACAGTTGTCCTTCACTAGTTTGTGATACCTTTTCATCAAGTATGTTTCATATTCTAGTATGAAACATTGTCATATACTGTTTTGATCCAGTATTGCCCGGAATGAGCTAGAGTTAGATAGACTGGAGCTTCCACTCTCCTGAAGGATGCTGCCTTCTCACTCTCTTGGCATACCTCACCTGACACTCTGAGCTCATTCTGGAGACTGTCATGTCTCCTGCCCTTACCTCCTTCAAACTAGGCCACTCCAACAGCCTCAGTCTGTTCCAGACTCAAGACTTTGGCATTGATCATTAGTCTGAAACATTTCTTCTTGGATATATGGCTAGGTCTCACCTTCTCACACTCTGATTTGTGGTGTTGACACATATCTGTGGTATGAATACTCTTAGTATCATTGACTTCACATTACCAAAGTGACATCTACCAGCATAAAATTCTTGAACTCTTGGCAGCTGGCTCACACAAGCCCATATGAGCCAGCATCAGTATATTCCCATGTTTGTGTTCTACTTAAGCATCCCCTGAGCCACTGGGGGTATCCAGGCCACACTTCAGGAAACTCTACTTGGGTAAAATTTTTTATAGAACCAAGGCTTTCATTATGATGGATTTGACCAGGCTTTTGTTGGTAGGGGCTGCTTGTTCATGTGGAATATGGATTTGTCCTGGTTAAAGGGATAACATCATCTTCAAAGCAGGGAAATAACTAGCTTTGCTGACATCATCATCATCATTATCACTATAGTGAGCTGTGATGCTCTGATAGAGATCACTGTAAACTATTGTAAATGATCAAATGTGATGAGTGGTAAGCAGAAAATTGCATAGCTCTTGGAAATTATACTATTTTATCCTAACGTAGAACTCAGTACTTTTGTGAATTGGATCAGAGCCGTCCTTCAGAAACTAGTTCCCAAGCTCAATTGGATGCTACTGCCTTTCTGGCTACCATCAGTACACATGATATGCCCTATGTCTGAGGTACATCTTAACTATTCAGTTGCTGCTCATTCTGTGGTTTTCATAAATTTTCTCAGTATTGTCTTTTGTATGCATTGCCTTCAGTATACACACACACACACACACACACACACATGCACAGACACACACACTCACACCACATACTACTCATCTTCCTATTCCTTCCCATTCCAGAAATAAGAAAGAAAGCAACTTGGTATTTATCGATCACTTACTAAGTATAAAGCCCATGCTGGGGCCATACCATGCTAATCCCACTTAATCTTCCCCTTAGTCATGGAAAAGGCCTATTAGTTCATCTACTTTTCAGATGATTAAATAGAAATTCACATAGGTTCAATTTTTTTGAAGTTTCATATATAGAAATTAGAATCCAAATTCAGCCTTTTAAATTTTTAACCTCAAAGTTCATTGTTTTTTAGCACTTTCCCAATATTTGATTAGAGAGGACAGTTATTATGCTCACTGCTCACCTTCTAATTTATTTTCCCTTATCTATCTATCTATCTATCATCTATCTATCATCTATCTATCTATATCTATATCGATCTATCTATCATCTATCTATATCTATCTATCTGTCATCTATCTATCATCTATCTCTCTATCTCTCTATCTCTATCTATTTATCTATCTATCTATCTATCATCTATCTATCTATCTCTATCTATCTATCTATCTATCATCTATCTATCATCTATCTATATCTATATCTATGTCTAATCTATATCTATATCTATCTATCTATCTATCATCTATCTATATCTATCTATCTATCTATCATCTATCTATCATCTATCTATCATCTATCTATATCTATATCTAATCTATATCTATATCTATCTACATCTATCTATCTATCTATCTATCTATCAATCTATCATCGATCTATCATGTATCTACCTATCATCTATCTATCTATCTATCTATCTATCTATCTATCTATCTATCATCTATCATCTATCATCTATCTATCATCTATCATCTATCTTCTATTGATTCTCTCTGTCTCTGTCTCTGTCTCTGTCTCTCTCTCTCTCTCTCTCTCTCTCTCATCCCCTTTAAAAATTTAAGGGTGGGACTCTGACTTAGGTCTCATATCTAGGTAGTGGATTGTGAAATTAAAAAAATAAAAAACATTTAAAAAGCACTGTTTTTAATAGATAAATAAGTAAAAAGCATGTGTGGATATTTGAGTGATTTAAGATGCTATTGCTTAACTGCTTAAATTTTGGTTGTTTCCAAAAGTATGCTTCTATGATTTTAGGGATTTTCCCATTATATTTGCATTTGCATCTGAAAAACCAAGAGTGTCATTAGGAGCTGGGTTCAGGATCCTCTGGCACTGGGATAACTGGGACGTTGTCTAGTTTGAAGTACTGGGCACTAGAGGAACATTTCAGATTGCCTGGTAGGCATCAGTACATCAGTATTTATGCAATAGGATGTAAGAATTGACTGTCACTGAGTCCTAATCTCCTCTCTCCCTTCTTTCACAGGTCTTTTTTCTGGAGTCCTGGGAGGTGGGATATAGGCAGGACTGCCTCTAGCTTGCACCATGAAGCCGGAATCTGCTTCTGCTCTGCCCTGGGCCCTGCTCTGCCTGTGTACTCAGCTGCTGGCTGCTCCTCTTCCCAGGGCCTGCTACTGCTAGGAGGTAGAATCTCAGCACTGGTCCTTGGTCTGGGTCTACCTTTCACCTGGCTTCCTGCTTCCTCCCTCCACCCCAGCACCCCTGTCTCAGCCCTGTCCTTGGTTGGGACGTTTGAAGGTCTGCTGGGAGGAGCACATCAGCTGAAGACTCGTTCCTGCCCTGGGCTCCTTCTCCTCCTTGAATCAAGGCCTCCGGATCCACATGGATAGCTGAGATCTTTTCTTGGAGAAAGATATTTCCTGCTCAGTCCCTCACTTGCCCCACCTGACTCTCCCTATTTCCTCTGCCTCTCTTTTGGATTTCTTGCCTGTGTGCTCATCTAGGGCTGTGCTATTGTTTTCCTCCTTCTTCACCCTCCTAACATTCCTGTTTGTCCCTCTCCCTTGTGTGTTCTCTGTCCCCACGCTGTCCTTCTTTCTCACTTCCACTGCCAAAGCTTTCCCTGAGGGCTGTTCCCTGGCCTGTGTGTTCCACTAGCTCTGGCCTGACAGCCACGATGAGCTTTACCCTCCACTCGGCGTTCTTCACCTTGAAGGTGAGCATCTTTCTGGGCTCCCTGGTGGGGCTCTGCCTGGGTCTGGAGTTCATGGGCCTACCCAACCAGTGGGCCCGCTACCTCCGCTGGGATGCAAGCACCCGCAGTGATCTGAGCTTCCAGTTCAAGACCAACGTCTCCACCGGGCTGCTTCTGTACTTGGACGACGGTGGTGTCTGTGACTTCCTCTGCCTCTCCCTGGTGGATGGCCGTGTTCAGCTTCGTTTCAGCATGGACTGCGCCGAGACCGCTGTGTTGTCCAATAAGCAGGTGAACGACAGCAGCTGGCACTTCCTCATGGTGAGCCGTGACCGGCTGCGTACAGGGCTGGTGATTGATGGCGAGGGCCAGTCCGGGGAGCTCCAGCCTCAGCGGCCATACATGGATGTAGTCAGTGACTTATTCCTTGGTGGCGTCCCCGCTGACATTCGATCTTCTGCTCTGACCCTTGATGGAGTACAGGCCATGCCCGGTTTCAAGGGATTAATGCTGGATCTCAAATATGGCAACTCGGAGCCTCGACTTCTGGGGAGCCAGGGCGTCCAATTGGAAGCCGAGGGACCCTGTGGTGAACGCCCCTGTGAAAATGGTGGGATCTGCTTCCTCCTGGATGGCCATCCCACCTGCGACTGTTCCACCACTGGTTATGGTGGCACTCTCTGCTCAGAAGGTAAGGTCCTCCCCACTCCTCTTTCTTGGGATCTTCCTACTGGACTGGGTGAAGGCAGGAAGGCTGGACAGAAACCAGCTGGAAGTTAAAGTACATCTTCAGCTGCATGTAGATAATTGGGCCTCTTTCCCTGAGGAGGTTGTTGAAAACCCTTTTCTTGCTTGCAATGGAAAATGCACCAGATCTCAAGAGGAAGAGAATCCAGGCTACTCAACCCTGGGCTCTGACTCATCCCAAAAGTCTAGATGGAGTAGACCACAGTGTCTGTACTCCAGCTTGGCTCCTCCAAGCAGCACAGTTTAGCAGGATCAGCACAGAGCAAGAAATGAGAGAGCAGTGGTTGTCTCTGTCTCTCCTGAGCCTTTGAAACTTGGACCCTTGGTGATGGATGGGAGATTCCCCATTACCTCAGCCTAAGCAATACCTTTGCAGAGAATGGGGGTGGATGGACTATAGCGTCTGTGCATGGCCCTGTTGTTAACTCAGTCCTTGCACTATGCTACCCATCAGCCCCTTGGGAGGCATTTAGAAGGCAGTCAAAGAATCTGGGTGAAAGCTTTTTGTCCTTGTTCTGGCTATGAAGATGTTTCACATCTAAATATGGGGCTTCCTCTCCTGAACTCTCCACACACTTAGGCATGGGTGGACAGACACAGGATTAAACTGGAATCTTGTCCAACTGAGTATCCCAAGCTACATTGGAAAACTGCCCACATCTAACTATAACTTGAGAGAGAGGGAGAGAGAATGAGAGAGAAAACTTTCCTACTTAAGTTGCCCTTACCTTATGTACTAACATCTGTTTGGTATTAGATCTGAGAGTAGTCCAGAATTTAATTTGACAAATAAAAACAAGATAAAAATTCCTGGACTACTGTGCAGATGTAGGGTTGGGGAAGAGGAACCACTGAGGTGATCAAATATGTGGGAACTGACCAAACAGGTGTGTGTCTTCGGAGGTCAGAATGAGGAGGACACAGAATGGCATTTTTCCTATCCTTCTTGGGTTATGCCCTGATTCTTCTAGAAATGCTTCGTGTTGCCAATCCATGCTGGCCTCTTTATGGGGTGGTGGCATGGTATAGGGTAGACCAGTGGTTCTCAACCTCAGGTTCATATTAAGATCACTTTGGAGGAAGTGAAAAACATTAGGCCACACATAGGCTTATTAAATCAGACTCTCTGGGGTAGGATCCCAGCAGCTGTCTATTTTTAAAGCTTCTCAGATGACCCCAATGTGAAATTAAGGTGAAGAACCCACTGGTAGAGGGTCAAAGGAGGTCAGACTGATACCTGTGAAATTGGGGTTCCATCTTGGAGTTCTTAGTCTTGATAAAAGAATTTAAGGATGAACTCAAATGGAAATTTGAGGAAAATTTCACTAGAGTTTAAAAGAGAAAAACACAGGGTAGGGAAGTTGTAAATCTTAGCAGCTTCCCAGAGGAGGAGAATGGAGAAGAGAAGGAAAAACCTATACCATTTGAATTAGACCAGCATAGAGGCTAGCCACATGATGGACCAGCAACCATGTGGTGGGGAGGGGAGCTTTAGAGAAAGAGTAAAGAAACCCAAAGTACCAGAAAAAGCATATTTAGGCTCTGACCAGCATCCAAAAGGAAAAGAAGAGAGGATCATGGAATAGTTATACTTTTCTGAGTCAGGACTTAGAAGAGTGGTCAGACACAGCTGGGGGGCGGGAATTCTGGGAAGGAAAGTACAGTATCTCATTTAAGGAATAATTATTCCATCTAACTCTTTAGCATGGCTTAAGATGAACCTGCCTTCCTATGGATGGTCCTGCCTTCCTGAGAGGTGGTCCCTTAGCCAGGTCATTGACCTGCCGACCTCGAATGTTAGGTCTCTACCTAGGCCAGATATTTCATTCTCTGTACCAGAAGGAAATAGTTTTCCCTTAATGGGCCTTTACCACTGCTGTGTCAAGAGGGTGGGGCCAGATGAGTGTCTTGTTCCTGATTCCTGAGATCCATTTGGGTAAGGCCCTCAGTGTCTTGGGATTTATATTTAACAATTGTATTTGTAGGTATTCCTAGAGCATTTTGGGAATTGTCCATCCCTTAAAGCATGTTGTGATTGATGTAAACTTTATGTGCCAGTAGTTATGTTAAAACATTTTTTAAAAAAATCAAAACAAAGTTTGTTTTACAGGTGGAACATGCTGGAGACTGACACATTGGGAACTGGGTTGGAGACTTCTGCAGGTTGTACCTGAGTTGCTACAGAAGTGTTCCCCTGTGGTTCTGTTTCTGTCCTCTACTGGGTGGGGCCTCACATCTCCCTTCCTGTGGCTGGGCCTTAGGAAAGAGAGATGCCAGGCATCTACATTATCTCTCTTTAGACCTGCAGCCATGTCCAACCTGAGACCCACGGGGCCACTTGCTTCCCCAGAATATGATCCAACACATTTGTAGATGATACTATCCTGTTGCAATGTTAAAAGTTTGGATAGTCTTGCAGACTTCTATTTGTCCTCATTTAATTCAGAGAGAAAAAGGGTGGAGAAGAGGAGCAGAGTTGACATCAACCCATAAAACCACATTGGGAATGTACTCATTGATGGGCTTCGCACAAGCAGGTACCTTCTGGAGCTGACCGCTATTCTAGAGCTTCTTGGCTCTGGAGAAAGTTCTGCCTGAAGACGCTGACATGATCACTTGTTTTCTCATTTGTCCAAAGGATCAGTTCTGCGCTCAGAACTTGCACTGAAAGCTGGCATTCTTCCTTTCTAGGGACCAGGGCATTTGCAAGTGTGTTGTTAAGTTGCTGATTATCTCTGATTGCATTTTTTTGTGTGTTTGAAAAGAACTCATTTCCTCCAGGCAGGTTTGGCTCAGCATTTTCTGCAGGAAGAATCTCTATACTGTATATGTATACAATTTGTCTTTTCTCTCTTTTATTTATTTTTGTATGTATGTGTTTTTCAGTCCCAGTGGAATTTCTTCAGGTCAGATTGATTGCAGTTGATTTTTTAAAGACAGTTAAATGCAATATGTATATTTTAATAATTGTTCTTTCTACAAGGTTCAGATCACCACTTGGATATGAATTGATAAGTATTTATAGAACGCAAACACACAGTTTAACTCATTTGTCTTCTGTATAGAAGCAGAGTAAATAAACTCTTTGGTGAGAATAATATTTGGCTGCTCTGAAACAGAATGATACAAAAGTTGGAATGAGGACTGAGGATTTACTGTGACTAGCTTGAAGCCTGCTGATCCCAGTAATTGTCATTGTGTCTAATCAATCACAAAAATGCACTGCAGACCATTTCAGAATATCCTTTGCCTCCACACATAGTTAATTTTTAGAGAGCAAGCGGAAACACTCACCTGTAAAATGTTAAGGGGGGAAAATCACAGCAGCTGCTAAGTGTCAAACAGATCTGCATGAAACAAGACAAACAGCCTAAACAAATGCCTACCATCTTCTTAGAGATGATGTGAAGTGGGTAGTGATGATGCAGGCATACCTCTTCCCCTCAAATCCTTCACAGAACAGAAAACACAGGATTTTCCCCCAGACGTCTGGGGCCTACCTATCAAGCACCTGATTATACCAATTGTATCTGATTGCCAGGTGGACCCTTCCATTTGATTATGTGAAGACCTACTTTGTGCTTTTCTAGTTCCAGGAGCAGGGGCAGTTGGGGGGCTCCTGAAGCTTCACATGAATGTAGTTGGGGCCTGTTGGAGGTACCCTTTGTGGTCCAACAGCTTGTAGCCTGCCTGCAGTTTGCTTGGCCTGTCTGGCTCTACATGCCTCGATGGCTTCAAACTGTCTCCATACTGCATCGCAGGAAGAAAGCACAGATGGGCCCATCACTTTTATGTGCTTTGGGCTATTCTGGCTCCTAGCTGAGAAGAGTGAATGACACCAGAGGTGGTTGGTATAGAAGATCTGAGCCCAAGTGTAAGCGATAGTGGATGTACTATCTTCTCTTTCATCAGGTGAAGGACTGTGAGTTCTGGCTGCAGACTGAACTGACTTGGGGAAAACTCTACCCTGAGGCTCCTGCCCTAGTTGACAGTCACACTGAGTATTATAGTATGATGAATGAATAAAGGAGAGGTTCCAGGCTTTAATTTCTAGTTATTATAAATAAAATGCTTTGGGTCTCAACCAGTGATAGAAGTGCAGATAAGACAGAAAAACTGTAAGAAGATGAATGTGGTTTGGAATATAGTGAGGCTGTGGCCCAGCACCTCCTCTCATTGTTTCCTTAGTTCAGTCCTATGATGGCAGCCTTGAAGTTTAGTGGCCAGAGAGTGAAAAGATGTCCTCAGCTCCCCTAGGGACAAGTCCCCTCATGGGCTATAGAAAGTTCATCATTCCCTTGGAATAATGAGTTGAGACTTGATTATTTTTAAAGCATTCTTAGTTACGAAAGTATATGCACTGAATTTCTCTGCAACCTTATATTTGTGAAGCATCAATTCACTGCCAAGGTATGCAAATTTCAGTCCCAGTTTCCCTGAAGATTTCATTTAGCATGAAGTCAGCCTGTTGTAGGAAGGGTGGGGCCAGGGAACAGTGGAGAAGTCTTTATGAGTTCATCTCCTGAATGAATCTCATGACATGTGCCTGTCTATGTCACATATCATTTGGGTGCCCATACCGTTGAGTTAATTCAGTGAAGAGACCTGACATCGAATCACACTGGCAAAGAAAACTTGGTTGCTTGTCTGCTACCTTTTCCTGCTGACTTGGGCAGTTGCCGAGACCAGAAGTTGCTTGCCTCGTGTCTCAGCTTGCTACATATTCAGGTGTTGAATGCTATAGTGAAGTGTAGCCCAGGGTGTTTATGATAGGGACCAGGCTTTATTACAAGTTGATTGTTTCATGGATCCCACCAGTGAGTACCCACTTCCCTTCTGTTGTCTGAGTTGACATCCTACTCAAGTTGTTTGATTGATGTCTCAACTCTGCTATGTGGCCTTGGTAGGCCTTCTACAAAGCAAATTTCAATGATTTTTCTTTTC